GAGAATACTACTGTGACCTGCTCCACGACAACACAAGGACAGGGCAGAGAATACTACTGTGACCTGCTCCACGACAACACAAGAACAGGGTAGAGAATACTACTGTGATCTGCTCCACGACAACACAAGGACAGGGCAGAGCTCTCAGCGGTCAAGAGGACAGCGCTGACAATTTTGAAAGCCCTGTGAAGACACAGGAAGCTCTGGACCAGGCGACAGTGACTCCTGACTGACGTAAATGAGTCTTTCATTGTTTTGTCGTTGTCTTCTCTGTTTCTGTCTGTCTATCTCTGTCTCTACATGTTTGTATATTCTAGAGTTTAACATAGAGTCTCATGTAGCAGTTTCTCATAGTCCTGACTGGCCTAGAACTCACCACATACCTGAAGCTGGTCTTGAACTCCTGCCCCTCCTGCCCTCCCCCACTCATCCCCCACCCCTAGGTGTGTGCTACCAGTCCCAGCTCTTACTGTCGTTAGACTCTCCTTACATTTCAAGACAGGCCAAATTCTTATTGTACAAGGGTAAGTGTGAGGAGCTTCCCTTTCAACGTCCATGCTGGCACACACGGTAGGGTTACCCGGAAACGCAGGAGTCTGATGCCTAGAGGACTCACAGCACAGGGCACAGGTAGTTATTTGGTGTGAGAATAACTTCTAGTCCTCTTTTAAAGATACAAAAGGAACACAATATTAGAAATGATCCAAGGCACGAAGTCCTAGTCCAGATCACTCTGACAGACTTGGCTCCGTGGACCACAGGCTGAGCCATGCCGTCATTCACTCTGCTAGGCTTTACTCACAAGCCCACCGTGCTCTTGTATTATGTGACTCAGCTTAGCACACCATTTGGTCCACTAGCAATCGCTACCCTGATAAATACCACAGACGTATACTAATTAGTACTGTAAGCACTGTCCAACAATAACCCTCCAACTGACTACCATGCTAATTTATACACAGCGGCTACCTAATATTGTAAGTATTGACTCTGCAAACTGAAGAATCAAGCTGTTTGGATTAAAGCTCCTAGAAAGAAAGGGTTCTAAGTTTCTTGGAAAAACTTGTTTCAAGTTTACTTATAACACATGAGACAAATTTAATCCGTTACCTAAGAATGAAGAGAAAGTTCTAGCTGGGCCTGAGTCAGAAGTGTGCGGGAGTCTGTGTAGCTGAATACAAGAGAAAACGGCTTTATATATGAAAACTACGGATCAGTTCCACTGGAATTGCATGACTTTTTATAAAAGTATCATGGGATAGCCTTTATTATATAATTGTTTTGGGTTGATTTTTATAATTACTTCTTATCTTAATAAAATAAAAACATACAACATGGCTTTAGGATATTTCTTGTAATTAAACTGAATGTGAGACACTTCCATTCAGATATAAACATATCTTTTTATTGTCTCTTCTACTGGATTCATTTGTGTGCTTTAAATACGTATTTTTCAGATATATGCATCCTAATACACATTTTATGAAGTCATTAGTTCTGTTATTTGAATATTGTAGAGAAAAGGAGATGCCTATACCTCTAAGAGGTTTTCAAACAGTAGACAAAGCTAAAAATATTCATCTATCATAAAATATCACAAGCTTTTTTCAAGACTTTATACACCTAGTAACTAACTGCTCCTTGAGTTACTAAGAGGGCCAGGGAACCAGATCTGACTATAAAGTGAGAGAGAAGATGTAAAGCCTGTGTTTGGAGGAACAGAAAGGATACTAAGGATGTGTAAAAATATAAAGTAGTAACTGTAAAGATAAGAAGGGGTATGACTTAGGGGGTATGGAGGGGATTGAAAGGTTTTCATTACTAAGTCATGTGTGCTATTTAAGACTCTGATTTCAGCTGTGTCTCCTCCCAATCCAGGTGTTGCCAATGTGACTGAAGTGAGCGGTAGCGCCTCTAAGAGGAGATGGGGTACGAAGCACCTGTTTCTAACAGCTCTATGTATCCTCATAAAAGAATGTGGGGAGCAAGTTCGTTCTGTGGCCTTCTGCCTTCCTCAAACAAGGACACAGAGAAGGTCCTCCCACTAGGTGGCAGTGCTCAGTCTCAGACTTCCCAGTCGCCA